AGCGATGCACTTGTTCCTAGTAGCTTATTGTTTCTAATGGCTTCTTGATACTACTAGTAAGGCACTTGTTACTAGTAGCGTGGCACTTGTTTCTAATAGCTTCTTGTTACTACTAGTAAGGGACTTGTTACTAGTAGCGTGCCACTTGTTTCTAATAGCGAACCTTGTTGCAAGAAGCAAGGCATTTGCAACATAATCGTGAGTATTTAGCCAAGTTGAGCAACAAGGAGCAATGATGCGAAAGACATCTGTCCAACCATCCTTCACCAAACAGCTCCGATTTCCGCTCCGAGCATGAAAATGATGCCGTAAACCCCGGTCCGGCCACTGAGTCGTAGCTTGGCTTCAAAGCTCAGCTTGGACAAAAGCAGCACGGCGCGACCCGTGAAGCTGGGCCTCACAAGGTCTGAGTAAGCCAGTCGTGGTGCCAGTGGGGATGAAGAGTTGATGTTGTGACCTTGTGGATCCGGGATTATCATGAAATGATGGCTCATACTTTGGGGTTCTTAGGAGTTACAATCCCCAGGAAGTAAACTGGGTGTAACAAAGGCTCTCCTGCCTGTTGAGGTCGTGAAGGGCATCCGTCCACTGCTTTTCCCGAGGCCAACCACGTGCATGCTGGATTGCGCAAAAGCAAAACTGGTTCAATCTTTGGTTAGGTTGTCTTGAATTGTTTTGAACCGGATCCAAATTGTCCATCCAAATATTGTCCAAATTTATCCAAACGGGTTGTTTAAACTCCAAAAAGGAAGCTCATGCTCCGCTGCACAAAGAGACAGGACACGAAGCGGCCAAGGGGCGTCTCGGCATCTTGCAACCAACCTGGGTCGGCTCGAGGCTTCTGGGGTCTTAGGACACAGAAACCTTCCGGCGTCTCCTTTCCTCTGCTGGCCCTTTGAGTTTCCAACCGTGAGCTTTCCTTGCTACAAGCAGATGTAGATCCCCGTTGGTCAGCCGACTCGACTTTTTCGTTGCTGTTTTACATGTAAAGACAATTCAGTTCCCCTAAAAATCTAAGGAACCAAATCGTTAGTGCGAGCGCTTCTTCAAGGAAGCTCCACCCTGCCCTCAGGCGGGGTGAGCTTCCTTGAAGAAGTGTGAGCTATCCTGCGACCTGCTCCTAAGGAGCGAACTCTAGTCGCCTCCTACTGAATTGAGTAGGTGCAGGTGCCTACTTAATTAAGTAGGAGCGGGCAAACAAAAACAAACAAACCGCGTCGGCCCAGTGAGGAGTGAGGCGGCCCCACCTTGAAACCGCCGCTTGCCCACGACCATACGCTCGGTGGCCACGGAGCCTTGGCTAAGGGGTGACGGACATTCATGGTTTTTGGGGCTTTCCTCATGTGAGTGATGGTCAACTTGTGAAAATGTAGATGTGCAGAGGTGAAGATGTGAAGATGTAGATGAGACGTAGTTCTGCAGATGTTTTTTTACGAAGAACCCTTCGCAAACGCTCTCGGGAAAAACGATGGGAATGTTGGAATCCAAACCCTCCAGTGTGTGTTGAACACATCGAGGTGCAAACTCATCCGTGTTTCTTCGGCGCCCGTTTTGTCTGACATCAGTTCTGATGCCTGAAGAACACCGTCGGGTCTGGCCTGGCCAAAGGGTCAGCATAGGCACGTCCGGGAATTTTGTGCTAAGGGCCAGCATCATCCGGTCGTAGCAGGCCTGGTGTCTCATTCCACGAGAACTCTGCAGCTGTTTCGACCGCGGGAACGACGAATCGCAACTTGAAGGATTCAAAGAGTTGATGCTCGCTAGTAGCTTATAGTAGCTTCTTGTTCCTAGTAGCGAACATTGCTCCTAGTAGTACGGCCAGGAGCCCCTAGTAGCGTCCTTGCTCCCAGTAGCGATGCCCTTTGCTCCTAGTAGCGTCCGACTGTTCGTGCTTGGATTCATTGAGTAGTGGCGACATGTCCTCGCCTTGTTCGCGTGATAGGAGACTGGAAAAACCTCAGGTGACTCACAGTGATCACTTGCTTTTGAGCACGATCGGCAAACGGGAAAGCCCAAGGTGGAACTGGATTGGGAGACACATGCAGCATCAAATCATCTTAAAAGAGCATGTCCAGCTCCAAATGCATGTGTCCCAAAGGCTCATGGACCCTCAAAGTGCTACAGTACATGTTCGATCATGTTCGTTCGGCCCCAAACTTACCCTGGTTGTGAGGGTCTTGACATGTCACAACGCTAGCGAACTGAGGATATCCAATGAGCCTTTGGGTTAAGTTTGCCCCAAAATCTTTAAAAGATCTAGGAACCAAATGAATAGTGGGGGCGCTACTCTGCGTCCAAATGTAGTAGCTACTTAAGCTACAAGTACTAGCTACCTCTCCCTTACAAAATTGCGTAAGCGCCTACTCAATTAAATAGGGAGATGGGGAGCGGGCTGAAAAATAACATATAATATATCATATACTATACAGTAATTTTTTGTTATGATTATATAACTATAACTATAACAAAAAAACGGAAAACACATGAACACACAGCTGATCGCTGAGACCTCAAGTGAGTCTCTCCATCATTTCTCCGAACATCAGGGTGGCCAGCCCAAGACACGTGATAACCAAGCCAGCATATTCTTGAATGTATCTGTAGTTTGGCTATATTTCCAACTTTATAATATAGTAATAACATATTTAGAACATATTTGAAGTATATAGTTGTGTCGGAAAGCCAGTTCCACTGAAACCACAACTGCTCCCCCTTTCGACCCCAAGTTACTTGCTCTCTTCACGCGATCGATTTGACGAAACACCGAAGGGGGCTGACATCTCCAAGGAGCATCGGTGTTGCCCTGTGAGCCGGCCGAGCTGACCTCAGGAGTCACGGAAGACCGTGACACACCCAAGTTCTTAACAGTGCGTTGCCTTCGAGGATGAGTGGTCCGAAGATACCGGTTGGAAGCTGTTGTTCTGAGCGTGTCTTCCAGGCATCCGAGCTGAACCCGAGGGAGATGAAAAACCCATGAAGCCCGAAGAATTCGCTGAGCTTCGCCCGCTTCGGCAAGGCAACCTGAAACCTCATGTACCCGGTTCTAGGATTCCAAAGTTCACCGAATGTGCACCTTCATCCAACGAACTGGTACAGATGGACGCTACTAGGGGCTGGCCTTACTGCTAGTACTAGGAACAAAGGGCATCGCTACTAGGAGCAAGGACACTACTACAGAAGGGCGTAATGGGTCAGTTGGATTTGGGGGGTTGCCAAGCCACACTGATGACGGTACCGCGAGCCCGACTCAGCAAATGGCGGCATGACCTGAGCGCCACGTGTGTGAGGTTTCAGTAGTCTTGAAGCCCTGATGAGGCTTAATGAGGTTTATGGAGAACAATGGAGAGAACCTATAGTAATGCATGACACATAAAAATAACCACAATAATAGCTCCCATTGTTTTGCTCGTCAAAGCTTTCTGAACTGCCAGTGCTTAACTCGGCTGCCGCACAGTGTCAGCACCACGTGATTCCGTGCTCCAATACAGAACTGCTCATCGAAGAGCCTGCAATTCTGATTAGCACGCCTCTGACTTGATTGACCCAACATGAATGTAAACAAATGGGACCTACGTGATTGCAGGTCAAACATCTGTAACCCCACAGGACCTGACCTTTCACGAAGGCCCTTTCATCAGCTTCTCTGCTTCCAACCTAGGTCTCAAGATATTGACGTCTAATTTTGACATATTTGCATCTTCGCACTGTGCAAATTCATAGTGACTTTAGAAACGGACATCTGACACCATTCAATGATTAGTCCCAGGTAGTCCCAGAAGTAGTACGACATCTGTGAATCTTTGTAACAAAGGTCAAACGCATTGATCAAACCACCTCATCCTTGGGAGGTGCGAACATGACTGGCAGTTCCACAACGGCCTGCATGGTTGCTTCCAAACAGGAGTCGCAAAAAAGAGCGCATCTGGCTTTGGCATGAAGAAGGCATTGTTCACCTCAAGCCGACCGCCTTGTGCCAGAATCCAAGGTCCGACCGGCCGTGACCGGCCCAATTGGAACGGGCGCTGGTCATGAAAATTGGAGTCTCAGTCTCAAGGACTCAAGGACCACATGGACCCTAGAAAACTGGGTGGTAGAACAGTACTGGTCAATTTTTGTGTTTCGTCTGGTAGAAAAGATCTTGTGTCCTGGTTGAAGAATAGGTCTGTGGTCGGATCGACCTTCTTGTGTAGTTATAGCCGTTTCATCCACAACCACTAAGTTGTTGCTCTATTGCTGAAGACCATCTGTTCAAAGATCTGTCTGTCTGTGAAGATGGTTCAGGGATGTCCGGGGCATTTTTTGCACCCTCCACCCACCTTTCAAATTCACTTATCCAATACAAGTGGATCACTTGCTTCCACCCGGCCAACCCCTGGCCATCGCTCAGTGGCCGACCAGCAAATCCACTCGGCCATGGGTCTCCTCTAAGATTTTCACCAGCCTCGGTTGCCCAAGAGGGGACATCCGCCATCCCAAACACTCCATGGATGGTATGTTTGCCTACAGTGGGGTGGTTTGAGGGATCAATGGCAGCATATATTCCAAAATTACATGGAGTGTCTGGGTATAGCATGCTAAATATGGGTTTTGCTTGGCAGTGCGTGCGCCGCATGTGGTATGACAAAGAATCTGCAGGAAGAGTGTTGGTCTGGCCACAAGGGGTCCAGTCAATAAAGCAGCAGCGTTGCAGAACCTGTTGTCTTTCCAGGACGGCCAAACAACATTTGGAGGGAAGAACACCATCCAAGACGACATTTAAGCCTCTTTAAGCTCAGCATCCACCTGTGCCTCTTAGGAGCAAGGACGCTATTAGGGGCTCCTGGCCATACTACTAGTAACATCTAGTAACAAGAAGCGATTAGGGGCTCCTGGCCTTACTACTTGGAGCAAGGACGCTATTAGGGGCTCCTGGCCTTACTACCTTTAAGCTCTTCAGCATCCACCTGTGCCTCTTAGTCTAAGTCACTTCCGCACATCAACGTCTAAGGTGTGATCCACATAGGCCGGGACGCCTGTGCCGTTGGAAAAACGAGCACCTGTAGTAACAATAAAGCTTTCTAGATCTTTCTAGTATGTCTTTGAAGCTTCTTAGTAACAAGAAAGCTTTAGAAGCTTCCTTGGGAATTGCTTCACTGGGAATCGTTTCACCGGGACGCCTGTGCGGCTGGAAAAGATTGGAGTATCATCTGAATCATCTGTCCAGTGCAAGGCACTGCTTGGCTTGCTCTCGATGTGTCTTTGGAGCCATCGGCTTAGTACTGTTGTGGGAGCCTAGTCGCAAAATGTCCTACATCATCGAGCAACACTTGATCCGTTTCTCCTAGTCGTTTCTCAAATCAAGAGATTCACAATGCCATTATGCTGGAGGGCGTCTTTGTACTAAGAGTGCTTTATCAATCTACCTAAAGGCAAGGTGTTTTGCACATTCTAGCAGCTTCGATTGTCGTAATTCCTCGCAGGGTAACACATCGGGGTTTACGTACTAATCAAACCAAACGAGCGACAGCCTGGCCTGCGCCCCCGCGCCGCGTGGCTTGTGCCGCTGTCTCATCTACAGATCCCGAAAGCAGGACCTGGCATGGCGAAAAGCCGGACCTGGAGTCCCCACATCGGTTGGCACCTGTAGGCGTCGTGATGGGTGGTCGACACTGATCAAGGCCCAAACACCTTTCAAAAGGAGAATGGACTCATTCCGCTTGCGGCATGGCGCACTTCTCCAGACATGTACTACAAGGATGGGTGTGTTTCTTGACCATTGACCAGGCCCCCAGAAACTTATGTCAGATCGCCAAGCACCCGACTGTGGCAAGAGGGGTGACTAGGTAACCACACAACATCATCACCTGTCACCTGATGACGCCCCTCGAATCGACCCGGACACAGATCGATTCGCCTCTGTCTGTCGAAAGGACGTTGATCGACCAGTGATATAAACGATGCAACCTGCGACAGTCAGGAGACAGCGGTGCAACGGTGCAACAGTCTTCTCGGATCATCTTCTCTGGATCAATCGGCTTCTGAGCTATGAAAGCCTCCCAATACAGATCTCATTCCCATTGAATCCAATTGATACAAGTCGGCAAATCAGGACCTGGTCATGACTGCAGTATTTACACCACCTGTCTTGTGGACATCTCCATTTTTGCCAGAGTCAGACCACACATCAACACAAAGCGATTTCTAGCATGCTACAAGAAAGCAGCACCCAATCACCTTCGGAGTGTGCTAGAGCCTGAGTCGATGTTTGGATTCCTCTTCAATATCCTTTTCTTGCACACTCCATGGCAATTGAAGCAAAGTCGTGCACAGTGCTCCTTCTCAGTTGGTTGAAAACTGACTGCTCAGTAGAAGGCTCAGATCTTTTGAAAAGGGGTGCACTTGGCACCGTACTTAATTAAAGCTTGGACCCATCTCAGGCCATGGTATATCACCCATCGTGCAAGTGATTTGCCTGATGGTGGATTTCGCATTGCCACCTAGGCTGCGATGAAGGCGGCTGCACTCTGCGCAACTTCTTCACCACCAGCTCCCCGGCAAATGTCAAAGACACAGTCAGCAAAGATCTCTGGGTGATTGCCATCCCTCTGAAGGTGTTTGCCACAAATCGTTTCTGCTTCTCGCTCTGCCACTTCGGTACACGTCATGCTGAGAAGTGAAGCTGTAGGTTGCATCTTGGAGTTCAAGTAGGTTTCTGCAGCTTTGCTGCCACCCAAGGTCACCCATGTTCCAGGTGCCTGAAACTCGCACGAACACGTATGGCTTCATGGGGATGAATCACAGACTTTACACTGCTGCTGAACATGGTCCACAAGGAGAACTGTGTATCCATCACCTGCTTTTTCACCACCACGAAAACCCTTATCCTCTTTGCAAATACTCGGGTCTTGACCCACTATGATCGAGTTTGCAGCGCCCAGTGTTCCAAAAACAACATCCGTGTCCTGCCTGAAAGTTGTCGTCGGTCTTCACTTTCACCGATAGCTTGGAAGAGAAGAAGCTCAAGTGGGACTCCTTGCCCAAGGTCGAAAGAAACACTGTTGGAGGGTGAACAAAGTAGATCAAGGGTAGCAACAGTATGAAACAGTGGTACTTTACACCGGATGCCCTAGATTCCATTTCCTTGATTTCCTAGATTCCATTGACTTCGCAGGAATATCTCCTGCCTTTGACCCCTTAGATTCCACATCATCCACCATGGCTCCTTTTCATCCGGCGTAGCTCCAATTTCACCACCCGCATGCTCCATATCATTCCTTCGTTTGGCAAACATCTCCACAAAGGTCATAAATTAAAGGAAGCTCTTGTGCACCACCAACAGAAACCCACCCTTGATCGCACACCCAAGCCATGGATGTCATCCAATCCTCATTTTTGGAACCTACATAATACTAAATCATATATAAAGCAATCAGATCTGATGCGAATCAGTGATTCTTGTCATACATGCTGATCTTGAAGTCCATGTGATCATCTGGTTTGCAGTGGACCAAAAGCCTTGCCACCTTCCGCGGTCCATGCTCTGATTGCACGTTCAGCATGACCTCGGATTCCATATTTAGGAAGTTGTTCGTGTCTTTGCCGGTTTCCTTGACATCAAAGTTCGCACCCTCAGTGGACAACTCAGTCTGTGCCAGTTGGCGCCAGTCGGACTCGTGCGCTTTTTGCTGCCATGCGCAGTCCTGTGCAGTCAATTCCATGGTGCGTCCTGAGTTCTTTTCCAGAAGCAACAGGCCTTGAGTAGTGAATCCAGACCCGGAGTAGGAAGCCAGGAGCTGCATGTCCACCGAACCCTTGGAATAGCTCCAGGCCACATAGTTGCCTGGTTTCAAGAGGCTGTAGTGATCTCCCAAATGGTGGAAATGTGGGGGTCACCGTCATCACCTCCAGTGGAGGTAGTGCTGGTGCTCGGCCAAGCAGTTGTGAATGTGGTGAATGCGCTGGTTGTGAATGTGGTGAATGCGCTGGTTGTGAATGTGGTGAATGCGCTGGTGGTGAAACTGGTGGTGGAAGTCCTCTTCCTGATGCAGCAGCAAATCCTCTGATTCCCCGAGGCAGCACTAGCACTGCATCGTGAATCCGCTGCGTTTTGAGGAGCTGAATGACGACACTTGTTGGTGCCTGATGCTTTGTGAAAGAGATTTCTATCAAATATGAACATCAACCCCACCCAAGCAAAGTAATTACGTATATTGCTATATAATTGCACATTGACGAAAAAAGCAGCTCGTTTGAAGGGCAAACGTTGATGAAACAAAGAACAACACAATAGAACCATTCCAAAACACCACCCGGCCTCGGGTAATATACGGGGCAGACTTGTGCAAAGAAGGTGTGGAAGCACCGCTGCATCTTCGCCCAAGGCTTTGCACCACGGTGTCCAAAGCTGCACCTTGAAGTCTCTTCTGGGCACTTGGATCGCATTTACTCGGTGCGCAAGCGCGAACGCAGTTGCCTCCTGCAGTTGGAGGCCGTTTCTTTTCAAAGGCTGGCGGAGGTTTTTTTTGAACAAACACAACTTGCCCAAGTGCGTGGTTTGACGACTGGCATTCTGGTTTGTTTTTTTAATCATGTTGGACTGGGTTTTCAACCAAACGATGCAGTTTTCACGTCAGTCTGTGTCCTAAAGCGCTCAGCTTCCAAGTGCATGTTGCTCGAGCGGTCACTTGGAGAATCGAGACATCGTCGCAGCCAGGTGCCGAGCAATTGCCAGCGCCCTGTCGCGGAGCGACTGAGGGATGCGACCCTATGGGATTTGCTCAACATTTTTTGAGCCTCATGGATTGCACTGCACCATGTGAATATATACTATAAGTATCTATAAGTCAATTGTCCTGTATCTTCTTTTTCACTCCAACACCGCTAGCCTGACGGATTGTCGCGACTTGTTTTTTGGGCAATTGGGAAACGCCACGGAGATAAGTCACCAGCCAGAAGACTGATGGATAATGATGGACCTTGGATAGTTACCTTGACAAAGGACACCTTCAATATCGGTTGCCTCAAAAGAAACAATTCGGATCGCTCCAAGGCTTTGCTGAAAAAGGCCTGAGAGGACGCAAAATGCATCAACATCGCAGCCATTGCCATCACGGCCATGGCCATTACGAAGTAAACACAAACACTGCGGTTTCGACCTTCAAAACAAGTGGCTTCGGCCGCGCAGGTGGCGCAGGTGCTTGGAAACTTGGATGAATGCCCAGCTCTGTGGGCACAAGTCAACCCCATGACAAGTAAGATGCATTTGGCATTGTTGAGGCCTGTTGAGGCATGTCGAAGGTTGGTATCTCCTGTTGAGGCAGGAGGTTTCACAAGTCCTACTGAGCTGTGGTGTGCCTAACATGATCCAACAACAAAAACAAAATGCCTGAGTCAACGGTTCAATGAATGACCTTGTTTACCCTCCCGAAAAGCTAGCAAAGAAACTGTTGAAAATCCACAAACTCTTAACCTTTTCTTTCCTTGTCTTCAGCCTTTGTCATCTGATTCGCCTGGCTCCTTTTGTTCAAATCTGCGCATTGAAACAACAAACACGAGACGACAGAAAACTGCTTTGTCTCTTGAGAATAACAGAACTCGGTGTCTCACCATGACACAACAGAAAACAAAATAAACACCCGTCGTGGCGCGGCAGGGCCGTTCAGCGGTGCCTGCCGCAGCCAATTCCAAGGCAATGCCTTTGCCAAGGCCACGGGATCCACCGGTGACCACTGCCACCTGGCCATGCCTTGTCGGCTGGTGAGGACACAGGACACGTTCGAACGCAATGGGAAAGGAGAAGGTTGACAGCCGAGGGGACGGCGAGGTAAACCTTGGAGGCGAACATTGTTTGATGGGTTTTACGCGGTGTTTTGTTGGATGTTGACCGTTTTTCACTGTAGTTGATCTTCCTTTTATCCTGCATCATTATGTTTGGAAGTAGCCCAAATAAGCATCGACACCTATGCTTCTGAGAAGCCTTTAAACACTAGTGAAGCAGCATCTTTCTATATCGGACAAGCTGCAAGGCGTAGGATGGCACGCTGCCCATCATGGGAACCTCAGATGCTCTCGTGATCTTTTGACAACGAAGTAGACGCTTCAATCTGCCTTCAAAGATCTTCAAAGTGACTTTGACCCTTCTCTGGGTGACAATCTTTCTTGGCTGATTCTCCATCCGCTCTCACCCAGCTTGCCAAGCTGCCATGAAGGGAGTGCATTTGCTCTCCAGACCTGCTCCTGTTGGGCAACTTCGTCAAACAGCTCGATCGAGCTGGACATGGGGATCGAGCTGTGCTGGAGAATGGTCTCCAATTGTTTGGGCTCCCGCTTGGGCCATGACCCCGAAGCTCCAGGGGATTTCTTGCAAATCGTAGTCGTTTACAAGGATACTAAAGTTAAAGAAGTGAGTCCCCAAAACTCCCCAAAAAAGACAAGAGGTGTGAAAGAACATGGAAGATTCTTCTTTTTGGAGCCCCTCCGGTCGCGTAGATCTTCCTGCTTCCCACGCCTCGCAGGCACTGTCCCAGTGGTGCAGTGGGTCCGGGATGCCGCGATGGAGCAAACATCGAGGCCAGACATCGTTCGATGCTGCCGGTGAAGGGCCCAGGTTCTCTTCACGCAATATAAATGAAAAGTGAAAAGTGTGAATGTTTTTCATTTATTTTTGCGGTGTCCGTATCACAGCACCTTTAGCCATTCAGATTTGCAAGCACGTCATTCGGATTTGTGCACCTGTTTGGCAGTCACTTGTTGGAAGATCTGCATATGTATCATTGTCATAGCCTAACCCAAATGGACCAAAAGGCTGTCAAAGCTTACAGAGACAACCAACGTCTGGCAAAAAGAACAGGGTTGTAGGTGTTGTCTAGTTTCTTCACTAGGTGTCGCAGAAAGTCCAACCAGAAACGTCTTGATTGATGAATTTCTGCTTGCAAACACAGAGATGTACTGCCGATCTCGGTCTCTTTATTTATGATCTCCAGGTGAATCCTCGCAGACTTTCGGAAAAAACAAATAAACATCATATCATAGAATATTTAAAGCAAACAACAATTGCACGAACCTTTACATGGACAATGTCAACCACCAATGACCGTGGTGGGCTGGAGTGGTTTGGCTGTCATATGCTTTCATCCGCACCCTTGGTATTTGGATGTGATGGTTCAATTAGTATCAAAAGTGTCACAACCGCAGAAAAAATGCACCGAGATCTTGAACCTTCTGACATCTTTTGATGATTATAAATGAAAGTGACAAGGGTTCCGGGATATCAGCCCCAAACAACCACCACAACCTACGGAGTGGGAGGTGTTCGGAAAGGTATCTTATTGTGTGGAGAACCCTGGCACGGGTTGGAACACGACGGGGAACACCGGAAGGGTTGGTACCCGTTGTGTATGGCAGAGTGGGTTTGGGGAGGAGCACCTACGGCCACCTACAACACAAACCCGAATGCACGAAAGGCACGAATTGCAACGGAACGGCGGGCGAGGTCGACCGACGTACCGGAAGCTGAAAACACGCAAGTGCTTGTTTTCTTGAGCCATAGCGACGGTCGGAACGAACGTCGAAACCTGTACATGAACACATCATGACACAGCAAGTTAGGGGTTACCACTGTATGTGATATTTTGACTCCCCCCTCGCCGCTTTGCGAGTCATGGGTTCACTGTACATGCATTAATTACCGCGCATTGAGCAGCGGTTTTGGTACCTACATCGGCTCCTAGCGAAAGGCTTCGATCCCTAAGGGATGGCTTCGGCTCGCGAATATCCGTACGTATGCCAAGAAGGCACAAAGCCTTGTACCACTTCTGTGGTGGCAGTGCTTTTGTAAAGATGTCGGCGGCCTGTTCGTTGGTGTCGATGTATTGCACATTGATGCATGGGTCATCGAGGCACTCTTTTAAAGATGAGAGGTTTATCTTGTGTGTCCGGCCGATATGTCGAAGTTTGGGGGAATACCCTTTACGAACGACTATGATGGTGGCTTGATTGTCCTCGTGGATAATTAAGTCCACCGGCCTCTGCAAGAGTTTCTCCCAGAGCTGGAGAGCAGGTATGCCCTCCTGGTACAAAGAGTGTGCCAAACTTACCACTTCTGACTCCGTGGTGGAGCGTGAAGTGGATGTCTGTCTTTTCGAGATCCATGCAAGTGGGAAAAATGTGTTAGGACCTTTTAGTGTTAGGAAGCCGCCTGAGGTTGACTTCACGTCACCGGAATCGCCTCCGAAATCCGCATCGACATATAGCTCAAGCCTGAGATCCTTCGCATCATCTTGGCAAGAGGCGGTCAGTCTGTAGTCTAACGAGTATTGGAGGTATTGTATTAGCCTTAACAACTTCTTATCGTGCACTCGGGTCCAGGCTTGGACCTTAGTTGCTAAGTCGTTAATGGGCTTAAGGATATCCGGTCTAGACAGGCGGGCCAACCAAAGGGCCTTCATTAGTATTGAACATGCTTTGGGGGCGAGTTCTCCAGGAGAGTCCTCGTCCTCCTTTGGCCATGTTCCATCGGGGATAAAGGGTGTTTGTGCAGGTTTGATTTTATCGACTTTAGCAACGCTTTTATAAAGGTCTATGGTCTGTTGGGCATAGTCCTTCATGCCGAAAATCAATGCATCGGGAGCCGCGCCTAAAGCAGCGTTCTCCTCACCCTGTACTTTGTCGAAACTGGCATAAACATGATTTCTTCCGAGGATTCTATAAATGGTTTCGGGAGGCTCTACGTTTACTTCTGACATTATTTGGTTCCAAAAGGGAGCATGGTGCTCGGATGGTCCGGATAATGTCAAATCGTCTACGTACGTAGATAACATGAGACCTGTCCCTTTGAAATAAAAATTTCCGGGGTACTCAGGAATCTCCTCACCGTTCATTTTCTTTAAAATCCCCTTTAAGTGGTTTTCCCACATTCCGCCTGCATCGGGATGTCCATATAGTGCCCTCACTAGAAGTACAACTGGACGGGTGAATTTTCCCTTCCACCACTCCGGGCGGAGTTCAGGTGGAAGTTCGATCCACGTTTTGTACTTACTTTTGAGAAAAGCTTGAACATAGGCCTTCACGGCGTCTGCCGCCGTGCAAGCATGTCCCGGCAAGGAGCCGTAGGCTAAACAAGCGTTTAAGCCCTGTACGGAGGTTGGGTTCGCGCCCAACTCCTCGTAGACGGCGGCGACGCCATTCTCGTCGCGCGCACAGTCGCCGCGATATACTATACGCCCCTTCATTTTGTGGAGGTGTTCAGCCAATTCCCAAAATTTAATTGAGGCGATAGTCATTAGACGGCCAAAGTGTACGGACACTTTGCTAGCCTTTGCTTCAGCCTTGACTGCATCATATTCTTGAACCGAATCAAGATCCCATGTGCCGATGTCGGTCAGGGATGTTGCTTCTTCCTTTACTTTCTCAACGGCTTTAGGGTTCGCTAACATCTCTGCTCTAGAGAGCAACTTAGTTACCATGGCATGCACCCTACCGTGATGTTCAGGATCTTCAGGAATATCGAATGCATTTCGAACGAGAGTTTCCAAATCCATCAGGCATTCTGCCATCTGGTTTGCAACTTCGTCGGTTTCGACGGCCAATGCGAACGTATCGGCTCCTGCAAGTGCGGAGATGTGTTTCAAAGATTGCTCTTTCACCCTGTGATCCTCTTCCCGCGCCTGGGAGGCAGCGGCTGGGATTACACATGGCATGGCTGGGGCTGGAGCGAGATTACCCTTTTGGGGGTACAAAGCTCTGGCTATTTCGCCTACCAATTGTGGAGGGTAAAAGGCGGTCTTTGCGGTCTGAGACCCAACCGCGTGATCGTGTTCATGTGGGGAATGCGTGCACCTATGCTGCGAAAAGGCATCTACGATGCGCTGGCTTGTCGTCATGAGTCTCCAGGTCTTCTTAATGGGTCTATCCTTAGTGGATATAACACCTACTGCGCAACCATCAAACTCGACTTGTTGGAATTCTGGATGCGAATCAAAGAAGGAGTTGACGTCACGGCGACTCCAACTCTCGCAGCCCTTTGGCCATTCAAAGGTCACAGTGCCCCCCCTGCTAAGGACGATCCCTGCGCTTCTTTCGAATTCTGCGAAAAGGCGCTTGGACTCACGGACCTGCTGTGCGTGTACACGGGCAAATCGTGCACCTCCCTTGGACCTGTTGACTCTTTGCCATGGGGACCCTGAAGTACAGGGTATTGACGCCCACAGGTCTGGCACCTCCTCACAGGTCTCCAAATGGTTATGGAGTTGGTCCTGCATGTCGGCGTTTGTCAGGTCGAGGTGTTCCTTGCTTAGGGGTACATGTGGGATTCCCAACTCTAGACGTGTCTTATGCATCTGAGAATCAGGGGCACACGCAAACTCGAACATACAACGGTTGAACTCAGGTGGTCTCTTCTTACCTCTACTTCTCTTCTTCTTAACTTGACCTACTTGTGATGCTTCGGTCATGGCAGGCATTCCGAACACAGGTACGCCACTTTCGGGTCTAGTTTGTACTAGTTGGGTCCTATATGTGGTGTGCGGGGTTATCGAAAGGCCGGCTATTATCGTCGGCGTAACGCTGGCATCCCCTGGTGCCTCCGGCAGAGGGTCCGCTGGCGGTGGTGAAGGCGGATCTTCTGAGGCTACAGGAGGAATTTCTTCAATAGTGATTCCTTCCTTTCGCTTTGCCAAAAGTTCGGCCTTCTCCGCTTCAACAAGTCGTGCGAAACGCTTTCGGCATTCATCGGTGTGATGACGTGTCTTGCGCTCGCAGGCCTTGCAGCCTGGGGTTTCGCTGAATCGGATTACTCGATCTAGTGTTATGTACACACTTCGGGACTTAGGCCCTACGGGCGTCGGCGGCGCAGCGCCTTCACCCTCTTCCCCAAAGGGAACCTCTTTCATGGGATAGTCGGGCATGTCGAGTTTGGCAATGTCGTCCAAAATGCCTAACGAACCACCATGGAGATGCCTCAACTTCGTTGACGCCATGGGAAACGGGCGGTCCCTCCTCTGTGTAGATTTCGGCCTCAGGCACATCTAACACATTTGGGTGCTTACTAACTTTAAAATCCATGTAATCCATGATTCTAGCTACATAACGATAACGGAAACCCGACTCGATGCGCCATCCCATGAAGAGACCAGGCGACATGTTTGGCTCGAGAGTCCTCTTGCTTACCTTGCGATCTCGGTAATACACTACCTAGACATTGCTATGGCATGGTTTTTTTGGTCGGCCAAAAAAAATTGGTCGTTACCAATTTTTTTTGAGCGACCAAAAAAAATTGGTTTTTCAGGGGCTCTTCTGATTGCGCTAGATTGTCTGCGGAAACATGGCCAATGGAGATGCATGCATGCAGGCACGCATACTATAATGCGAGGATTTGCCCTTCTCGAGCCAAGTGCGCAGCGGGACTATAAAAAATCGGTTTTTCACACCACGAAAAACCACAAAATATAAAAGACCGGGAAACCAAAACTTCTAAACGGGAAACCGAATCTCCGGAATATTTTGAAATATCACGATAACGGCTCACCGGCCCCAAAAAGAAACGGTTTTCTGTGATCCCCCGCCTTCGAAACCACAACCTGGAGAAGAAACGCGAAACCCCAACGCAAACCCACA